GCACCCAACACAAGAAGAAAAGGAGTACTTGTGGCACCTTAGAGACTAACCAATTTATTTGAGCATGAGCTTTCGTGAGCTACAGCTCACTTCATCAGATGCATACCGTGGAAACTGCAGCAGACTTTATATATACACAGAGAATATGAAACAATACCTCCTCCCACCCCACTGTCCTGCTGGTAATAGCTTATCTAAAGTGATCAACAGGTGGGCCATTTCCAGCACAAATCCAGGTTTTCTCACCCTCCACCCCCCCACACAAATTCACTCTCCTGCTGGTGCTAGCCCATCCAAAGTGACAACTCTTTACATAATCAAGTCGGGCTATTTCCTGCATAAATCCAGGTTTTCTCACATCCCCCCCACCCCCATACACACACAAACTCACTCTCCTGCTGGTAATAGCTCATCTAAACTGACCACTCTCCAAGTTTAAATCCAAGTTAAACCAGAACATCTGGGGGGGGGGGGGGTAGGAAAAAACAAGAGGAAACAGGCTACCTTGCATAATGACTTAGCCACTCCCAGTCTCTATTTAAGCCTAAATTAAATAGTATCCAATTTGCAAATGAATTCCAATTCAGCAGTTTCTCGCTGGAGTCTGGATTTGAAGTTTTTTTGTTTTAAGATAGCGACCTTCATGTCTGTGATTGCGTGACCAGAGAGATTGAAGTGTTCTCCGACTGGTTTATGAATGTTAGAATTCTTGACATCTGATTTGTGTCCATTTATTCTTTTACGTAGAGACTGTCCAGTTTGACCAATGTACATGGCAGAGGGGCATTGCTGGCACATGATGGCATATATCACATTGGTGGATGTGCAGGTGAACGAGCCTCTGATAGTGTGGCTGATGTTATTAGGCCCTGTGATGGTGTCCCCTGAATAGATATGTGGGCACAATTGGCAACGGGCTTTGTTGCAAGGATAAGTTCCTGGGTTAGTGGTTCTGTTGTGTGGTATGTGGTTGTTGGTGAGTATTTGCTTCAGGTTGCGGGGCTGTCTGTAGGCAAGGACTGGCCTGTCTCCCAAGATTTGTGAGAGTGTTGGGTCATCCTTCAGGATAGGTTGTAGATCCTTAATAATGCGTTGGAGGGGTTTTAGTTGGGGGCTGAAGGTGACCGCTAGTGGCGTTCTGTTATTTTCTTTGTTAGGCCTGTCCTGTAGTAGGTAACTTCTGGGAACTCTTCTGGCTCTATCAATCTGTTTCTTTACTTCTGCAGGTGGGTATTGTAGTTGTAAGAAAGCTTGACAGAGATCTTGTAGGTGTTTGTCTCTGTCTGAGGGGTTGGAGCAAATGCGGTTGTATCGCAGAGCTTGGCTGTAGACGATGGATCATGTGGTGTGGTCAGGGTGAAAGCTGGAGGCATGCAGGTAGGAATAGCGGTCAGTAGGTTTCCGGTATAGGGTGGTGTTTATGTGGCCATTGTTTATTAGCACTGTAGTGTCCAGGAAGTGGATCTCTTGTGTGGACTGGACCAGGCTGAGGTTGGTGGTGGGATGGAAATTGTTGAAATCATGGTGGAATTCCTCAAGGGCTTCTTTTCCAGGGGTCCAGATGATGAAGATGTCATCAATATAGCGCAAGTAGAGTAGGGGCTTTAGGGGACGAGAGCTGAGGAAGCGTTGTTCTAAATCAGCCATAAAAATGTTGGCATACTGTGGGGCCAGGCGGGTACCCATAGCAGTGCCGCTGATCTGAAGGTATACATTGTCCCCAAATGTGAAAGTTATGGGTAAGGACAAAGTCACAAAGTTCAGCCACCAGGTTAGCCGTGACATTATCGGGGATAGTGTTCTTGACGGCTTGTAGTCCATCTTTGTGTGGAATGTTGGTGTAGAGGGCTTCTACATCCATAGTAGCCAGGATGGTGTTATCAGGAAGATCACCGATGGATTGAAGTTTCCTCAGGAAGTCAGTGGTGTCTCGAAGGTAGCTGGGAGTGCTGGTAGCGTAGGGCCTGAGGAGGGAGTCTACATAGCCAGACAATCCTGCTGTCAGGGTGCCAATGCCTGAGATGATGGGGCGCCCAGGATTTCCAGGTTTATGGATCTTGGGTAGTAGATAGAATATCCCAGGTCGGGGTTCCAGGGGTGTGTCTGTGCGGATTTGATCTTGTGCTTTTTCAGGAAGTTTCTTGAGCAAATGCTGTAGTTGCTTTTGGTAACTCTCAGAGGGATCATAGGGTAATGGCTTGTAGAAACTCGTGTTGGAGAGCTGCCAAGCAGCCTCATAAATTGGTTAGTCTCTAAGGTGCCACAAGTACTCCTTTTCTTTTTGCGAATACTGACTAACACGGCTGTTCCTCTGAAACCCAACACAAGGTTATTCTATTGTGGACCTAATTATGACAGATAAAGATGAATTAATCACTGGGCTGGAAGTTGGTGTGCCTAGGAACCAGTGATCATGACCTGATTACATTCAGTATGCCAAACAAGGGACAGTGCCAACCAGTAATACACATACTGGGTACTTCAAAGGGCTAATTTCCCAGAGCTGAGGAAAATGATGAGTGAAACATCAGGCAGAAAAATGCGAATTAAAATTGGGACTTCTTGAAGTGGAGACCATTAAGTGGCCAAAAAGCCACGATTCTACAGTCAAGAAAGAGCATAACTCTGGCTAAAAGCCCATCCTGAGTAAGTGCAAAAGTGAAGGCAGGAATTAGAAATTAAAAAGGAATACATAACAAATGGGAAAAGGGGTAAATAGATAGTAATCAGTATAAATTAGAAGTTATGAAGTGTAGAAAATTGATAAGGGAAACTAAAGCCATCAGGCAAAAATCCATGGCTTGCAGGGCTAAGGGCCATAAGAAGGAATTTTTAAGTATCTTAGGAACAACGGAACTCCAAGCAATGGTATAGTCCCATTACTAGATGGAGATGGTAATATTGTTAATAATGATGCAGAAAAGGAAGAAGTATTCAATAAATATTTCTGTTCTGTATCTGGAAAAAAACAGGATAATGTACTCTAATCACATGAGGCTGATGAAGTTCTTTCCAGCCCATTATCAGAAGGCCTGGATAACTTGCACCCAAGAGTCTTTAAAAAGTTGGCCAGGTTCTTTTCAGGTCAACTTTTATCTTAGACAATATTTCTTAAACCAGGACTTTTTTATTCTTAACAATCAATGTATTAATTCACCCAGAATCACATTAGTAGACAATCAACACTTCTTCAACCAACTGTAGACACAACCAATGTTCTAGGCATGAACAGAACACACCAACAGTAGTCTTGCAAGCAACTGTGACGTCCTAGCGATTAGGCTTAGCTGTTACAGCTTTATGTTCTCCCAGAGCGAGGAACTAGTGAGGAAAGAAAGCAGAAGAAATACAGGCTTACGCTGATACGAACACCGCACCGTTATTTTGGGACCAGCTCTGCTGAAGAGTTCAGAGGCATCCACCTAATTCAAAGGCAAAAATGGCATCTCGAAAAGATGGGGGGCAGCACTTTGCCGAGCTATTCCACTGTCCCTCTAGTGTCAACTCTCAGATGCTAGAGGAGCTAAGCCAGCACCCCACACATGAAGAAATTGCCTCCTCACCTACTGTTGAGGAAGTGCAAAAAGTTATCAAACAAATGAAGTCAGGAAATTGCCAGGCAAAGACAACATGCCAGTGGAAATTTTTCAACTTGCAGGCCCCCAAACGGTTAACTATCCGTATTAACTTATTAAAGATATCTGGGAAACTGAGAACATTCTCCTGGATGTCAAAGATGCAATCATAGTTACACGATACACAAATAAAGGTAACAGATCTGACTGTGTATCTCCCTGCTCTCTGTAGATGGTAAATCCTTGCTCATATTTTACTCAATCGTCTTGTTGAAACATTATCAGAGAAGCTTCTACCAGAGAACTAGAGTGGTCCATGGCGCCCTACACAAGCCTATCACAACATGTCGTGTACTTCATCCAGTGCACTAAATGTCCCAGCAACAACTGCTCTCTGGTTTCATCCGCTGTATGTGGGTGAAACCATTGCGCTCTCCAAAAAAGTCACACAGAAAAATGATAAAAAGACAAAAACACTCTCTCACCGGCATGGTGAACACTTTTCACAGAGGGCTCACTCTAGACCTGACCTCTCAGTCTTCATCCTCCAAAGGAAACCTGCACAACACCTTCAAATGACAAGCCTGGGAGCTTACATTCGTAACTTTGCTAGCCACTAACAACCGTGGACTGAACAGGGACACCGGAGGTATGGCTTACAACAATCTGTAAGGCACTAAACACCCCCGCTTTTTTTTTCTCCTGGACCGCTGTGGCAGGAGGGGTGTTAACCAGCCACTTCACCTTGAAAGGTCCCTTGAAATATGTGCTAACTACTTATGCCCAAGAAGCTGTTCCACCTTGTATTTAGCAGTGACCTCTCCCGCCCTGAGGATGAGCTCTGGGCACGCTCCAAAGCCTGTCTCTCTTTCCAGCAGAAGTTGGTCCAGTAGAAGCTATTCCCTCCTCCACCTTGTCTCTCTGCTACCCTGGGACCCAGCTCACCGCTCTGAACGTCCCTGTCTGCAGGGGCGTGGGTGGGTGTGTCCAGAGGAGCATGTGTCTGTCCTGGCGGCCAACGGGGAGCCGGGCAGCTGCAGCCAGACCCTGCGGCCCCAGGCGGGAACAGCTGCCCGGTGACCCTCTGCCCAGCGGCAGCGACCACGGCGCCACCCGCCCGCTGCGCTCCGCCGCCTCCCTGCTTCCCACCCGCCGCGGCCTCCCCGCAGCGGCGCCGCCAGCCGGCCGGCAGCCTGCGGACAGGACGGGAGCGGAGCCCGGCAGGGGCCGCGCTGCGGGACCGAGCGAGGGGCGCCTGGGACGGCGGCGAGCCCGGGCGCTGAGCTCCGCGGGGCCAGCGCGCAGGCAGCCGGGGAGGGCGCCGCCGGGCCGGGCCGCGCTGCAGCCGCAGCACCGGGCATGGACCTGGCAGCGCCGCGGCCGCTCTCCCAGCCCCGGCTCGCCGCCCGCCCTGGGGTCCCAGCGGCTCGCAGGGGCCCGGAGCAGCGGGGAGCGCCCGGCCCCGGCCGCCCAGCCCGGGAGCAGGCGCTGGCCGCGTAGGGGAAGCAGCATCTCGGCAGAGACCGGCGCTAGGTAAAGCCCCGCTCCGCGCTCGGCTGTCCCTTCCCAGCGGCCGGGGCTGAGGCCGGCACATGCCGGGGCCGGCTGGGAATCGCCCCCCACGCAGGAGGGCGAGTGACCCGGGGCTGGGGCAGACCTGAACCTGCTGCCGTGGCCTGGCAGGGCAGAGAGTCCCTAGCCTGCCCCCTGCACAGGGCAGAGGAGCGGGGCCCTGGAGACAGGGAGCCGGGGGGGCCCTGGTGGCTCGGCAGCCGTCTCCCCAGGGTGCCCCAGGGAGCCAACTGCGTTGGTGGGCCTGGCTGGCACTGCCCGGCTGGGCTGGCGACACTGAGGAGGGCAGGCAGAGGGCACACGCGTGGGGGGAATAGGGGGTTGTATGACGTCTTGTCCCACCTGGGCTACTTGGCACCGGCACAGCCGTGTCTCTCCTGGCCAGGGCAGTCCTGGGCCTGGTGGTGTTGGCGGCAGCGAGTGAGATGCCAGCTGTCTGCAAGGGGCTGGGAGCTTGTGCCCTGGCCAGTCTGCGCCAGCAGTGTGGGCCCAGGAGCTGGTGAGGCCTCACGGAGCCCTGGCCAGAGAGGCGGGCTGGTGCTCCAGGAGCTCTGCCCGACCCGGGGGGGTCTGGAGTACTGCTGTGGCCGGGCAGGCGGGGGTCAGCGGGGGCAGGAGTGTGGCCATGGCCAGAGGAGAGTCATAGGATCAAGTGACATATATTAGAGCTGGACAGTGTAGGACAGGCCCTATGGGCCATTCTCCAGGGCTGGGGCCAGGCAGGTTTGCAATGGCCCAGGCACTGGAGGGCTCCTGGCCCTATCCCTGGGAAGTCAATTCCCCAGGAGAAAGCCTCTCTGGGGCAGGGACTCTATTTCTCCTCCTCTCACAGCCACAGCATAGCTGCCCTTGCTGAGCTGAGCTGGACTCACTGAACTCTTAATGCTTTAGTCCCTGACCATGTTGTGGCTCTTCTCCGAATTCCCTCCGGCTGTCAGCGTTTTTCTGGTAATGTGGTGCCCGCAATGGAGGGCGCTGGGCCTGGCCCAGCTGCGCATTCAGGGGCCACCCCCTGCTCAGCAAGGTGCTGCCTCTGGGCCTGCAGCCCTCAGTCGCATTGCCAATTTCGCTGCCATGTTGCATTTCCGGCTGGGGTCTGCGCTGACGTCCACTGTGGCCCCAGGGCTCTGCCTTTGCCTGGCTCTTCCCCGCCCTTGCTGCGTCGCCGGGTTCAGCCCTTCCAGTGGCAGCTGCTGGTGTTTAACCACGTCTCGGCTAACCCGGCTGGGAGCAGGCCTGCGTGGCACCGTGGCCCCCATGCGGGAGGCCAGGGGGCTGCCCCAGTGGTGAGAATGAAGGGAAAGTATAAGGGGAGACACTAGTGTAAGCAAGGGCTTCGGCTCTCTCAGCCGCACTGTCTCCTAGGTTGGTTTCTCCCCATGACGGGGGGTGGTTTAGCTTGTTCTCCCCAGCTGGGGTAGCTCCATCCATCCCAGCTGCATCTCAGCTTGGTCATTTCTGCCCCTGCTGGGTCCCTCGGGCTCTTTTGTTCTGTCTTCATTGTTGATCACAGCTCCCAATTAAGTGTTACCTGCTGCTCACCGCTCACTTCCAGATCACAGGTGAAAATACTAAATCAGTGTGGACCAAGCCCAGGCCCCTGCTGGGTCTCCCCCAACCCAGCCCATGCACTGGGGGATGTTCGTTTACCTCTGCAATCTGGACTGTGCCCCTTGGGTACATGCATTAGGCCACCGCCTTTACCGGCATGATCACATGCTATTTTTCTCTGGGCACAGGTGCTCAGCAGGATTTTAACTTGGGACCTTCAGGGCGCAGCCAGGGCGGAGTGTGGCTCAGCATGCTATGCCCATAGCCTCAGACTGCTCCAGGCTTAGCCGCCAGCCATGTTGGTTAGCAGGGGGCTTCCGTGCCTCCACTGGGACAAACACACTCCCCTCCTCCTCCTCCAGTCTCAGCCCTGGTGCTGGCTTCTCTCCAGGGCAGCTGTGGAGCAGCAGCAGTCAGGATCCTGGCTCTGCTCCTCCTCTTTTCCCCATGCAGCAAGCTGCAGCAGCTGCACCCGTGCCATGCCCAGGCCAGAAAGAGAGACAGAACCAGAGTGGTGGCATTCTCCCTGGTACCTGGGGAGGACACTACTCTGCACGGACGGAGGAGGAGGGGGGCATATCAGACAACACTTCCCTGCCCCAGCACTTGAGGAATCCAGAGCACTAAGCTAAAACACAGCGCCCAGATCGCAACACCCTGGATGTGAGGGTTGGTGCCCTGGCTGTTTGAGTCCTTGCTCTAGGTTTCTCTGTGCACAGCGTGAGAGGTCTGGGCACAGGAGGAATTTATCAAATCGAGGCCCTTGGATGGCACAAGGCAAAGTGACACTACAAGACATTTATCAAATAACGGGACCTCGCCCCTTCACATTCCCGCGTGTTACAGACTAGTGAAAGGTGCCCCTACGAGGGTCAGCGGGGACACAGAAACCTGGAGCGGTAACAGCTGCATGGGCACGAAGGGTGTCACAGGGTTTGTTTAAAGCAGAGTTTTGCATCATCTCCAAAGTTCACATACAGAGACATTGAAAACCCAATTTGCCATTTTGTAATCACAGTCTTGACTTGAACAAAAATTTGATGATGGGCTCTTCATTGTAGCAGACAAAAGTCTAACAAGATGCAATGGCTGGAAATTGAAACTAGACAAATTCAGACTGGAAATAAGATTACATTTTAACCATGAGGGTAATTAACCATTGGCGCAATTTACCAAGGGTCATGGTGGATTCTCTGTCACTGGCAATTAGGGCTGTCAATTAATTGCAGTTAATGCAAGCAATTAACGCAAAATAAATTAACTAGATTTTAAAAATTAGTCATGATGAATAGCAGTTTTAATTGCACTGTGGGTTGGCAGGGGTATAATGGGGGGCACGAGAGGCCTGGCGCAGGGATACTGTTGGGGGGGCAGAGGGGGACCTGGCACAGGCATGCTGGGTGGGGAGGCAGACCTCAGCAATGCAAAGCAGCACCCCGCCCCCTGCTGCCCACAGCTGACTGGGAAAGAGGTGGCAGGGAGGAACGTGCTGCCCACCAAGGCCGGGGAGATTTGAACAGAGCAGAGAGAGCCCTATAGCAAAGTAGCTGCCTGACTGACCCATGTGTTCCTCCTTCCAGGATGGTTCCCCCACCGCCCGTCAACAAGCCCCATGTCTGCCTCTCCACCATCCTCATCATGAGCAGCTTGGTGCTGATGGATGCTTACCTGGTGGAGCAGAACCAGGGCTCCCGGAAACTGGGCATCTGCCTCATGGTCTCGGTGGGTGACCTCTGCTTCCTGCTGGTGCTCCGGTACATGGCGGTCTGGGTCGGGGCCGAGGTGAGGACAGCCAAGCGCGGCTACGCCATGATCCTTTGGTTCCTTTACGTCTTTGTGTTGGAGATCAAGGTCTACTTTGTCTACCAGAACTACAAGGCTGACCGGAAGACCCTGGACCTTCTGGCTCGCAAAGCCCTGACCCTGCTGTTGTCTGTCTGCATCCCAGCCCTCTATGTGCTGCTGGTAGCCACTGAGCATATGGACTACGTCCGGACCTTCAAGAAGAAGGAGGACCTCCGCAACCGCCTCTTCTGGGTCATCATTGACATGCTGGACGTGCTGGACATCCAGGCCAACCTGTGGGAGCCCCAGAAGAAAGGGCTGCCCCTCTGGGCCGAGGGCCTCATGTTCTTCTACTGCTACATTTTGCTCTTGACTCTCCCTTGCGTGTCCCTGTGCGAGATCAGCATGCAAGGGTTCAGCATCGTCCCGCACCGGATGATGCTCTACCCTATACTGAGCCTGCTCACTGTCAACATCGCCACCCTCTTCATCAGGGGGAGCAACATGGTCTTCTTCAGGGACGCCCGGGTCTCGGGCATCTTCATGGGCAAGAACGTGCTGGCCGTCGCGCTGAAGCTCTGTATGTTTGTGCAGTACCGGAAGCAGCTGCGCAACATGCCAGCAGGGCTCAGCGCTGAGCCCCAGCACAGCTCCACACCCCAGCCCCAGCCTGCCCTGCAGCTGCTGAAATCCCAGAACCAGACGCCCGGCCCCAAGGCTCTGGGCCAGGGGAACACGTGACCTGAGGCGGGCACCGCAGACTGGAGCCTAACAATGGCAGAGTACTGGCACCTGCCAAGTTCCCGCCCAGGGCTGGTTCCTCCAGGCAGTCTGTGAGCGACCCCTCCTTGCTTTGCACGGACAAACTGACTAGCCACGTCCTCACTGAGCACGGGGCTGGGGAACGGTCACTTACGGGGCAGCATGGCATAGAACAGGGCCTTGGCACCATAGCCAATGGCAGCCAGCCCCCAAGGCCAACTTGCGGGCCTTGTGGAGAGGCTGCCGAAGGGGAACAGGCAGTGCCAGGCAACAGGGTTGCTTCCCTGTATTCCTTCAATTGCAAGGGTGTCGCGGCGCGATGGCTCTGTGGTGGGCCTGCTGGGAATGTCCCGGGGGGACACAATCTTCATGCACTCCCTGCACAGTCTAACGGTGCCAAAGGGGGCACCCGTTCTGCCCTCGATTGTTTCTGCTGGGCCCCTCCCTCTGCGTGCCCACACGTTCCGCCGCCCCCCTCCCACACACACACACACACATCGCTGCCTGTTTCCTCCTCGGGAGTGCAGGATTCCCCAGGGGAGTGGTGCCGGTACCGACCAGCTCCCAGCCCCAAGACGTCCAATGGGACTCACTGCCTCGTGGGCCTTCTTCATGAGCATCTTCCTTTTTCCAATAAATGAGAGTCCAAGCCCTGCAGCCTCCTGGCATCTGTGTGCAGCTGCTCCCTAACGCTGTTTGTATGGAGGCCAGTCGGGATGAGCATGAGTCCTGCTCTCTGTGAGGGCCGACAGAAGGCATGGGGGGTAGGTAGGATTATAGAACAACAAGAGCTGGCTCACTGTTAAGGTTGCAGCATGGCTTCTGTTTGAATTTTCCATCCTCTCTGAAGCCTACGCCCCCACTCAGATGGGCTTGGAAAGTGGTCTGCTAGTTCCAGGCCCAGGGGAGAATGTGGGGCACTTTTGGGGTCACTGGATCAAAGGGTGCCCAAGATACAGCCCTCCAAAATGATTGGTTTTGTAAGACCTCAATTTCTTATAACCCATTTGTTGCAGCTTAGGGACGGACGGGGCAGGCTTCTGACGGGGACCCCTCACTGAGATCTAGAGGCCGGCCCCAAGAACAAGCTCAGAAACCCAATTCAGAAAGAGTTCTTAGCCTGGATTTTTGGTTCTCCGGGCTGGTGTGGCAGGTGGCAGTGCCTTCCCCAGGGATGGCCAGCACCGTGTGCAGTGCTAGAGGTCCTCTGCCAAAACAGCCTCTCCTGGCTAGACAGGCACTGAACGAGGAGCCAGGAGACCCTCTTGCACTGATTGCTACGAACATTCCTGTGTCTTTCACAACCCAGGCTAGTGACCAAGGTCTTGGACCCCCCTGCTAGGGGAGGTACAAGAACCAGTTGCTCCATTTTGCAGATTGGGTAACTGAAGGGTTGAAACTGGTCTCTGATATGGCAGACCCAAGTCTGATTCGCTAAGCCACGCTGCCTTTTGGAGAGAATCCAGGTGCTTGGCCAGCCTGTCTGGCCCCTGCTGTGATCACTAGATATAAGCTTCCTCCTCCCCATTCCCCACAGCCAACAGTAGGAACCAGGGTCCCTTCCAGAGGGGAACCAACACTAGCCACATGCTCGCTGAGTGAGCCAAATCCCAGGGCTTGGCGGTGCTGTCTGCACTGGGGGCTGCTTCAGCACACCCACCTCCACAGAGCTCCAAGACTCTGCAATAGGATCAGAGCACCTTACTTGTCCCTAACAGACACTTCCTGTGATCTCAGCACATCCCAAAGCCGTACTCCTATTCAGACAGCCCCCCAAGCCCCTCATCGCAGCCTGGGCAGCAGCAATTGCCCAGGGAGCGCTGGCTGCTGGCAGGCAGAGATCAGTGTGGGGCCAGCTGCACAAGGGGCGAGCGGAGCAGTACGGCGGGGCCTGCAATGAGTTACTTCCAGGTTAGTCTCTGCTCTCAGAAGCACAATCCAGCAAGGTTCTGCCATCCAGGCAGGGCAGCGCTGAGGGGGTGCGCTGTGCCAGGCGTGAAGTAGCACCCTAACTCTACACTCCCTGGCTGTCAGCACTTTGGGTGCGTCCGACTCCCACCTCCAGGCCTCCACTCTCTGACCCCAAAGTCCCACATCCCGGGGGGCCCCGCAGCGAGGCCATTACTGCAGCTCCACCTCAGGACGCTCTGAGTGAATGTCCTCTGGGACGATGCTCTGTCCCTGGAGCTGGGGAGCCCCAGGTAGCCTGCAGAGACGCCAGCTGACCTAGAACCTCGGCCCCGTGATGGCCACGGGATAAGTGGGCTTCTCTCACTGATCCTGACACAAAGGGAAAGGCCGAGGCTTCCGGGGCCTAGAGTCCTGATTTCCTGCGCCCACCCCGGCATGGGCTGCCCCTGCCACGGCTGTAGCAGTGGGCCCTGGGCTGGGGGCCAGTCCCTGAAAAATGGGCTCCGTCCTCCCAAGCTTCTGCTACAGCTGCCACTGGCTCTTTCCCAAAGGTCCGGCACAGAGCTGCCTGCAGGCAGCCAGCAGGGCAGTGAATTTATGCCATGTTCTCCCCCTGCATGGCCGGGGTTAACGCACGGAGGTAAATTACTGCAGACGCTTGGAGCTGCCTGATCTCTGTGCACACAGTGCCACAGGATCATACCCACCATGCCCCCCTGAGACACTCAGGAGAGCACCCAGCGTCCCGCTGCTCCCGAGCACCCCAGCCCAGGAGCAAAACCTGGTCTGGGGGGATTTCCCAGCACTGCTGTCCTCTGAGCAGAGCCTGCTTTATGCAGAGGCCAGAGGGGCCGCATGAGCCCCAGGTGCAGCCGGTGTGGGAAGGATGCAAGGGAGAGACGCTTCAGCAGCCCGGGAGATAACACCACACAAGCAGCAATGCTGCAGGCCAGCCCCCGAGCTAGCTGTGTCCTAAGCCGGGGCAGGGGATGCTGGTAGAGAAGAGAGGCTAACGCTGGCCATGGCATAGGGGTGGGGGAGTGCTGGTAAAGGAGGGGATGGTGTGGGGGGAGCCAGTGGTGCAAGTAGGGCGGTCCGGTCCGGTCCACCCCGCCATACCGGTACGTAGGGTGACCAGATAGCAACTGTGAAAGAATGGGACGGGGGTGGGGAGTACTAGGCACCTTTTTAAGAAAAAGTTCCAAAAAACGGGACTGCCCCTATAAAAACAGGACATCTGGTCACCCTACCAGTAAGCTAATTATAGCTGGTACGTCGTACTGGGAAGACACAGGAGGAGCAGAACGTGGGGCCGCCGGGTGGCCCCATGCCGGTAGCGCCTCTGGCATGGCTGTACTTCCCCCAGCCCTTCCACGCAGCTGCATCTAGCGTCTCCTGTCTGGGGTCTGTAGGCAGCCCCGCCGGAGGACAGGGCTGTGGGGCAGGACAGCCGTCAGGGCGCTGGCTGTGGGAGGGGCTGGGTGTGGGGAGCCGGCTGTGGGGCAGGAAAGCCGTCAGGGCGCTGGCTGTGGGAGGGGATGGGTGTGGGGAGCTGGCTCTGGGGCAGGAAAGCCGTCAGGGCGCTGGCTGTGGGAGGGGCTGGGTGTGGGGAGCTGGCTCCGGGGCAGGAAAGCTGTCAGGGTGCTGGCTGTGGGAGGAGATGATGTGTGGGACACTGGCTATTCAGAGATTCCAAGGCCCTGAAGGACCATTCATTGTGGCCATGTAGTCTGACCTCCTGTAGAGCGCAGGCCAGGGACCTGCCCCCTGAAAAATTCCTAGAACGGATAGAAAAACAGGCAGTCTTGATTTGACGATTGTCAGTGATGGAGAATCCCCACAATCCTTGGTACATTTTTCCAGTGCTTAATTACTCTGACTGTTAAAAATGTACGCCTTATTTCCAGTCTTTATCTGTCTAGCTTCAATTTGCTTCAGACATTGTCCGAGTTATGCCCTTCCCTGCTAGATTGAAGAGCCCATTGTTAAAATATTTGTTAGCCATGTAGGTACTTATAGATTGCCATCAGGTCACCCCTTCACCTTCTCTTTGTTTAATTAAATAGATTGAGCTCCTTGAGTCTATCATTGTACCGCATGCTTTTAAATCCTTTAATCATTTTTTAATATTCTCTGACCCCTCTCCAATTTATCAGCACCCTTACTGAACTGTAGGCACCAGAACTGGACACCGGATTCCTGCACCGGTCACACCAGTGCCAGACAGAGATAAAACAACCTCTCTGCTCCTACGCAGGATTCCCGTCTATGCATCCCCGGCTCCCGTTGGCTCTTTTGGCCAGAGCGTCACTCAAGGAGTTCATGGTCAGCTGATTACCCACCCCCACCCCCACATCTTTTTCAGAGTCGCAGCTTCCCAGGGTGGAGGCCCCTATCCTGGAAGTGTGGCTGGCATTCTTTGCTCTCTGAGACAAACATTTACATTTAACCATATTAAAACCCCTGTTGTTCGCTTGCGCCCATTTAACAAGCAATCTAGCCACTCAGAATCAGTGACCTTCCTCTTCATTATTTACCCCTCCCCCAATTTTTGTGTCATCACTTTATCAGTGATGATTTTATATTTTCTTTCAGGTCCTTAACAAAGATGTTAAATAGCCTAGGGCCAAAGAACTGCCCCCTGCAGGACCCCACTGGAAACGCACCTGCTCAATGACAATTCCCTATTTACAGTTACATTATAAGACCTATCAGTTAGCCAGTTTTTAATCCATTTAATGTGTGGCTGCCACAGGGTTCACTACTCACTGCTGGTGCACGTGGGGATTATCTCACCGCCAGTCGGGTACCCTTTCCTGTGGTCGCTCAGCCCGTTGTCTCAGTCTCACGCTCCAGAGCTCTGGGTCGTCTTCTTCTTTGTGACTCGGCTGCTCCCTCTTTGTGGCTTAGTCCTCCAGCCAGATCGCTATAGTCCTTCCCTTCTGGGGTGTGTCAAAGGCTCTCTGGACAAGCTGTCTCTCTGCTGTTCCAGGCAGGCCTCCAGTCTACATCCAAGGCTGTGCCATTTCCCCAGTGGATGGTAGGGGAATGCGGGCCTGCCCTCCGCTGTGGGCTCCAGCCCAGGGACCCAATGCTCCACCACACATTTTAACAGCTGCCGCCAATTCCCCTTTTAACCAGGCTGATTTTTAACAAGCACAACCCTCTTTATCAGTCGTAGGGTTGTGGCTCTTTGGGCATCTAGCAAGGTGTTCTTAAACAACTCCCAATTCTCATTCACATCTTTCTGAGTAAACTCTTCCTCCCAGCTGATTTGGCTCATAATTGTTTCCAGCTTTGTGAAACTGGCCCTATTAAAGCACCAAGTATAAGAACCTAAGAACGGCCTTACTGGGTCAGACCAATGGTCCATCTAGCATAGTATCCTGTCTTCCAACTGTGGCCAGTGCCAGGTGCTTCAGAGGGAATGAACAGAACAGCAAATATCAAGTGATCCATCCCGTCATCCACTCCCAGCTTCTGTCAGTTGGATGTTTATGGACACATATAGCATGGGGTTGCATCCCTGACTATCTTGGCTAATAACTATTGATGGACCTATCCTCCATGAGATGGACCTATCTTTTGTATATGTCCCTGGTCTGGACTTTATTCTGCTTGCACATTATAAAAGTGATCAATTCATGATCACTTGTAACTAAAATACCATTAACTTTTAATTCTATGGTCAGTTCCTCTTTCCCTGTCCCAAAGTCTAATATAGAACTCCCCCATGTTGGCTGCAC